CCAAGTTCCTAAAGATAATGGCAAGAAAAAAAAATTGCGACAAGAAAGGTGTTTTTCAAAAGCTCAATGGTTTGAGGCGAGTGCCTTGAGCAATATACTTCGACTCTTAGCGATAAAAAAGCGAACGTTCATGCAAAGTTCACAAATGAGAGGTCTTCAAGATAGCCGGAGCCCTGGAAGCGAGCACATCCTAATTTTATTCTTGAACAAGACTGGCCTCCAGCTCATGTAGCCAAAACAACGATCCGAACCTGGAGACCGGAAACAGCTCTTTTTTGACGAAGGATTTGTGGTCTGCGAACAGCCCGGATCCTTTGAACTCCCCAGTTCGAGTAACCAAGGAATGGCAACTTACAAGTTGAAGAGTAAAAAATCTGGTGAAGACAACTGCTCAACTTTTGGAACGATGTAAACGTCAACTACCTGCGCCTCATCATCGATTCCCATAAAGAAAGCGAATTAAGGTGTGTATCGAAGCTGATAGCTGTCACTTCGGAAATTCTTGGTGATTATAAAATGTTGTGGCTTGCTGTTATATCAGAATAAATTTTCTGAACATTCGTTAATAAATAGAATATAACCTTTTTTTATAGCGCCCGTATTTTTTCGCCATCCTATATGTTATTATTAAAAACTGCGAGTCGGTACCAGTTTATCCGCTTCCTACTGCCGCCATTTTTTTTATGTTGTGTGACTACTATGGCCGAAGACACGATACAGAACCACAGAAGAAGATTTTCGTGCCCTTAGGGAAAGGATTGGATGAACTAAGTCTTCCATGCAAAAAAACGGATTTTCGCTTTTCGCGCATAGTAGGCTAGCTACGGGGCAGTCGGCACCCTTTTTTCCTCCTTTCCTAGGTAGCACTTTCCTATCAACTTTCCTATGCAGCCTATCTTCTTTATTTGTTGATGGCATGATGTCAAAGGAAAAAAGTCAGTTCAATTCTAGTTGTATGAGCTTTTCAGGAATTTAGATTATTTCACAATATCATCCGTTATATCAAGAAAAATTTACAGAATCCCCTCCATCTTGAGCGGATTTTGCGTGTTACTAAGGAAAAATTTTTTGTGTGAAACGTTGCCATAAGATCTATCGAAAAAATATAATCTGTATAAATCTCATGAAGGATTGGGCCGTCATCGATAAACGCCGGGATAGAAAAAAAGATAATAAATTAGAACCGAAATCAAAGAAATGTGGCAGAATTCCAACAATGACAAGATTTCAGTAGGAATGCCTCGTTCTTTGGAACTGGGTATGTAAATGATCTCGACAGCAATAGTGACACATCGCCTCAAATTTACCAGGTTCGCGGCCAAATTCGGTCTGTTTACAAGAGTATGCATCATTTCATCTAACTCCATTACTTGTAGCGATCCTCTAATGCCCAACCATAAAAATTAACGCTCGATGGTTGAATATTCAAATACTTCCGATCCTATTCCTTACAACTTCTCCCGCCTTCAAGGAACAGTCTCGTTATATTTTAACATTCATTCCACGAATATCTAATTCAAAAATTCCATTTAGCATGCCGCATTGCAAGAGGTAAAATTACAGAAGACAAGAGTGAGCCCTTCTGCTTTGACGAATTATATTCCTGCAATTTCAGTCTTGAGAGATAATTGTAAGGTACATTCGAAAATTAAATTATTACATCAAGCCAAAAACTCATTGCAGTATGTAGAGTTCATTATCGCACCAATGGTCCCAAAGCATCACGTAGGCTTTACATATAACCTCTCACATATGACTAGCTCGCACGACTATCTTAAGAAATCAGCTTTAATCTAAAATACTATTTTTTTCACATATTATGATTTTAATTATGTTTTTTTCTATTACTTATTGTACTGAGCCGCAAACTATTTATAAGCATCAATGAATTTTCTTCTCCATTTTACAGTTTCATAGAACCACTATTTCATAGCAAGTCACAATGCCAGGTGAATGTATACGCATGTGACTGAGAGGCGTCTGTAAAAATTTCGTACCTGTGAGTTCAGGCTTCCAGCATATATCGTAGATATACCTTAGTATATCAATTACTCTTATCACACAAATAATTGGGAAATCTTCGACGCTCAATGTTCCCTGTGTGAGTGTGAATTTCATACGTTATTCCGCAGGGCCCCAGATCAATATTCTAGCTCTTTGCAGCTCCCGAAGGTATTGGTTGCTGACGTCCCCATCGATTCCTTTCATATTGGTTAAGATTCTTAATGGCTGGCACACCTAATCGGGCTTGCGTACCGCTCTAGCAATAAGTGGAATCCAATTTGCACACAACTCTCAATAACCTGAGAATTTGAGCTATTTAGTGCAAACAGAAAGAATAAATATTTCCCGAGACGAAAAGCCTGACAGAACACTGCATCCTCAATATATTTTCTATTATGTTCAACAACTCTTGCGCATTAGAGCAAATCTATAAGAGTACCTGGTTCTTTGCCGCTCTCCAGCCTAGCTAGTGTGCTACGCAATATAGTATTGTAGGTGTTTTGCCGATCCACTGGTGACGCTTTTCGCGAGCACTAAATGTGAACTATCCTAGTAATCGCGGGTCGTGGCTTGCTTTCCGCATCCGTGAGGAATTTAAGAAAGATAGGAAAGTTTTGTGCAAAGAAGCTTGTAATAGATTCGAGCAGTCGAAGACGCTTTATATGGAAAGGTCTTTCCGCCTCACACGTCCTGCGCTCGACAGTGACCTTGGAGTGAGTTGTCCACAATTTGTATCTCTCATAGCTCCATAATGCGAAGTCCGAAGATTATATCTTAGAAACGCTCATAGTACCTATAATCAATGAATAACTGCGTCAATCCCAGACTTCACGCGGAGCAGAAAATACAATGCTATAATACACTGAGTAAGCGTGACGTATATGCCGATCATCACTGTAATAGTGTTTGTACTGCTATACGTACTCTTCGTACAAGTTGACTAGCCGACCTTGGCGTGGTTTCGTGCTCAGGCGATGAGAGCCAATCAAATCTACTATCTGTTTCGGCTATCTCGTGCATGCCACAGCTGATACGAACGCATTCATGTAGCGTATAAGCCTCTTGTGAATTCCACGTGTGATGGTAGAGTGTGTGGAGAAGAAATACCAGACACGAGAAATCAATGTGGCGCAAGCCGTAATTATGTAAGCATATAAATGCTTAGAGAGCGCGTATGGTAGTTAGGAGTCAGACCTTTTGAACAGAAAATAGCCTTTGGGCTCCTCTCGCGTCTCCCGTGAGAAGAGGAAGAGAGAACAGAAGAGGAGGCGGTGCGGTAAAACCGTAGAATTATCGCTATGCTCACTAAAGGGTAGCCAGCACCGCTTCATCGACTTACAGAGAGCCGTCAAATGTAAGCGGACAACTCCGTGTTAAACTGAACAATCACGAGATATTTTATCTATGGATTTAAGGAGGTTGAGACAAGAAGACCTTACAGAATATAGTATATGTTACGATGGGGACACTATAGCAGATCACGAGAGGATAGCCACCATTTCACCTTGAATAAGACATCGAGCACATGATGAGTCGACGGCATTTTACACTTCTACTGGAGGCAGATGCGACTGTGGAAGGTATATACTTACAGTCTATCATTAGAAATCTACAAACCAACCTATTTTCAAAACGTAGCTAGGAAAATCTCACTACGACTCATTATCAAGTTTCTTCATTTCGTGAGAAGATGGTCTGCACTTGATCCTCTCTAACGGCACAAGGAGATTCAGGATATACTACGTTTGTATTGACACATGCAAAAGTCTCTCAAACAGTTGACGAACCTGGTGCTGTCGTCCAACAACGTAACGAATGTTGGCCAAGAAACCTTGTGCCAAACTTTTGTTAGAAGTGTAAGGGAATCACTACGATTCACTGTGCCAAACTGAAGCAACTCATGTAATGTCTATAGTAAAAATGTTCTCCAACAGCCAAGATCGTAGAGAAACTTCAATAGAAGTCAGTGTGTGCGGCCTATGTTATAACTTTGGTGAAATTTGCAAAAGTGGCCTACTTGTCCACCCTATAGCCAACACTGTTAATATACTCCTCATCCCTGAGACGGAGTAGGCGTGATTTGAACATGGCACAGAATGGGTTACTCGTGGGATATTTCGATTAGAAACAACTATCATCTATTCATGTGTTGATATCAGAAGACATGACCACAAGTCTGTCAAAACGAAAATAGTATCTTACCAAAAGCACAGTCACAGCCACGTTTAGTAGAGGTACGCGCTCCTGCCACCCCTACCACATCTCGGGGATCTCGAGTGTACCTCCCAACTAATTGTAGGCTGAGGTTTGAGGTCCTAAAGTGCATGAGTCCCTCTCATGATAAGATATGCGACCGTTCTTCAGAGAATGCTCTGCCAAAAGATCCGGACTGCGATCCTGACAATCCCAAAAAGATCACTTTCTCCGACGTTTCCAGTGCTGCGTTCAATATCAAAAGTGGTGTCCTACGAACTCCTTGCAGTGTGAGTTGTTCCATAAAAATGTTGTAAGAAACATATTAATACAGCTCTTCATTCAGAAATCGTCGAACCTTTCGAGAATGTTAAATATGGAACTATACTTCAAGAAAGAGTACCTTCAAGTGACCGGTTCATTCAAGGAACGCGGAGCCCGATACGCATTATCCAGACTAGGCAAGACAGAGAGGGAAACTGGAGTAATAGCGGCTAGTGCTGGTGTGGAGAATAACTTTTCTGCGAACGAATATCATTAGGTAACAAAAAGACATCAAACTTACCTTAGCTCCTCAGGTAATCATGCGTTGGCGCTCAGCTACCACGGCCAACAATTGAACATCCCAGTGACAGTTGTGATGCCGGTGTTCGCCCCGCTGATGAAAATTGGAATGTGTCGTTCCTACGGGGCAACCGTGATTTTGAAGGGAGACAACATTTACAGGGTCAGTTTGGATTTTTTGTCAATTTTTTTATAAAGTTCTGACAGTTTCTGACATTTACTATTTCAGGCGAAAGAACATGCGATGAGACTAGTCATGGAGAAGGGGTACAAATATATCAACGGCTATGACGCCCCAGACATTCTATCCGGACAAGGAACTCTTGGTTTAGAGATCCTTGAACAGGTTTGTGGAAGTGAAAATTTTTGCTTATAACTCCGAATTCTTGGGATAGTAAGGTACAGTCTCGCTGCGGTCTCTGGGGCGTGCCAAAAGGCGGGTGGGGGGGGGGGCGGCCGGTTTGCGCGGCACCAACAAACCAGTTTCACCATCATCGTGGTCCACCTTTTACAGCTTCTACCGCTTGGTGGTAGAACGGGGCTTGGCGCCGCCCCCACCCCCCCCCCCCCCGCTTTGGAACGTCGCAAGCACCGCACTGCAATTTAGATATCAAGAGACCCAAAACAGATGACTGGAAACAGATACCAACTCCAAAGACTAGACGCGCTCGTTTTACTTCTTACTTCAGAAGAACCCATCACCTCCCGAAGAACTGCAGTGTCCCGTTCCACTAACTTTCACATGCGGGGGCGTCAATGGCCTTCTCACTATTTTCCTGATCCTCTTTGACCTTCTAACTTTTGCGTTTTAACCTAATCTGTTTTCCTGAGGATGAAGATTTGCGTGAAGAACCAATTAACTTCCGAATCAGCCTCTCAGAAATAGTGAACTTTCCACACCGCTTATTTATGGTAAGAGAAGTCGGGAAGAAGTGTTCAGCCATCCAGTAAACGACCCCTCCGCACTTTTCCCACTGGGACTGCCTAACGTATAGACGTGGCCTCGAACAGCTGTTGCGTGTTTGAAAGATGCGTGAAAAAAGTGAAGCGCTTCTCTCCTGATGATAATAAATATAGTCCTCTGTTACGCGGATGATGAGGCTTGTCAAGAAGTTATGGGTTGCCAGAGAACCTTAATATTCCTCTTGGCCTCAAACAAGTGACAAGGCTGTTCCATTTCGGTAACATAGGTCGCTGTCCACCAAACGCTGTTTCTCACCCAATAAGTGGTGGAAAACGGGGGGCTGGCGGCGCTGCGCGCTGCTCACTGATACGTTTCGAAGGCTGTAAGTAGGAATACGTCTGCAGGTGATGCCAATTTTCAGACCCCAGACGTGGATGCTATCATCGTTCCGGTGGGCGGCGGTGGACTTATAGCAGGTATTGCCGTGGCAGTGAAAACTCTTAAACCACAAGTGCAAATTATCGTGAGTTTTCAGAGTTTTTTTTATTTCATTTTATAGTAAAGTGTGAACGATTAGTGTGAGAATCCTATGTAATCAAGTCACGTGTGTTTGGCAAATCAGTACGAGGATTGTTGTCGCCAAGCACCAGCCAAACGCCTTATTTTAGGGAGTGGAAACGGAAACGTGCCCATCATTTACTGAAGCATGCAAAGCAGGAAAGCCTGTGGAAGCAAGTTTACGAAGCAGCCTGGCAGACGGTGCGTAAACTTTGATTTCCATCGTCAAGTCACTGGGGAATAATCGGACGTTAAAGGTCTCGCTGTGCCGGTGGTTGGCGGAAACGCTTTGGCAACAGCACAAGGACTCGTAGATCGAATCGTATTGGTATCCGAAGAGGAGACGGCTCTCAGCATTTTACGGCTCATTGAGATGGAAAAGGTTCGTTGTGTATGAAGCTATCTTTCCAACCTTTTTTGTCTTACCAGCTTTACCCCCCTGCATTTTCTAACATTTTCTTGATAGCAAGAAGTAGATAGGGGATTATGAAATATACATATAGCCGAGCTACTTCGATTTCCAGGCAGTGGTGGAGGGCGGTGGTGCTGTGGGTCTGGCAGCTTTGATGAGTGGCAAACTACCAGAACTTCAAGGAAAAAAGTGGGACGCACTCGTTGTACAATCGTCTTCGCTGCTTGTGCTGAAACGTGTCTGGAATAGGGGATAGGCGCGGCGCCAGCCCGTTCTCCACCAACTGTGAATGCTGGCAGGCGACCAGAATTGATGGAAAGCGGGCTGACGCCGAGCCCAACCCTACGACACGCTCCCGCACCCCCAGCGGACAAGGCGGTGAAGGCGTGGTAGTTACTGCTTCATGTATTCAGCAGCACACTGCCTTTCCAGGGTCGTATCAATACTTACCGGTGGAAATATCGATACCACAGTGCTAGGACGTACAATAGATAGAGGTTTGGCCGTCGATGGCCGACTTATTCGACTAGAAGTTGTCGTCTCCGATCGACCTGGTGGTAAGCTTGTAAGCTGTCTTCGTGGACTGAGCACGAACTCATGGCAGCGCTTCCACCTAGTCTCTATGGTTCTTTCAGGAATTGCTGAGCTCGCAACGAGAATAGCTCAAGCAGGAGCGAGCATAAAGGACATTTTCCACGAGCGAGCATGGATTTCAACCGATGTGTTCTCTGTGAAGGCATGTTTTCCCTTGTTAGATAATGGACAAAGCTTGATAGCGCGCCTTATTTCTCGTTTATGTCGTAACCCTTCTTCAGGTGAAAGTCGTAGCAGAAACCCGAGATCGTCAACACGTCGCCGAATTGGAAGAACTGTTGCGGTCCAAGTATGACGAAGTGAGCTCTTTCACACCACTACCTCCCCTTTCACTGTTTTATACTCACATGCCTATACAACTTATTTCAAGCCCGCATCACAGTGGTGTGGAGCATTTTAACCTCGAGTTGCATCATCGCGCTCATGAGCAAAGTTTTCCCTAGCTCGGTGACTTGAAATAGGAGTGCTATGGACGTGTGAGACGCAGAAGCAGAGACTGTCCACCTGTGCTATGTTGCGTGGATTAGGTCCCGGTGCGAATGCTTTGACCGTCACCCAGCTTGCAAGGCTTATTCAGAAGCGCTCGTCGCGCTGATAAGTAACGCTCCGAACCCGCATCACAGTAAAGGTGAGAATTTGTTCCAACAAGGATAGGTAGGGGCAGATCGGAGAGTTGAGGTTGATCCAAGTCGCACCGAAGGTGGGACGTTGGGCGCGGGGAGCAGTTAGGAGGGAGGCACCCGGTAATCGACTGCTAGCAATAACTCCCTCGGGAGACCAACCTTATGTCTGGGTTCGTTTTTATCTGAAAGAGCTGGAATGAGGGGTCGCACTCGACCTCTGGAGGGGTTTGTTTTCACCGTAAGAAAATATTTTTACTTGTTGATTTTTCTCTTCTGCGCGCTTTATTTATTGCACTGTTGGGAGAATTCCATGGGAAGCGGGAAGACGGGAGGAGCAACCGGCAAGGAACTGGTAACCTAGGAAAATGGTGGGAAAGTTGGGCAAGGGTCTCAGATAGGGAGAAAATATGAGGAGAGGTGTCGCACTTTGCAACAGTTTACACAACGTGCTCTGCTCTGCTGAAAGTTCTGGATGAAATCTTATAAGAACCAACGATTGCCGAGATCGCCGAGTTCTATCAGTAGTCAGAGTCGACTTAGTAAAGCCAAAGGTCTGTGGTTTATCCACTCCTGCTGAATCGTTTTGTTTTGTGGACAGAATATGGTCATTGTTCCCTCTGATCTCATTTTTGGTTTTCAAATATAATATTGATTTCAGGTGAAGGTTTCGTGAGTTGTATGTGTTCAGTACGAGTTCGGTACGAGTTGTTGGTGTTCAGCTCACCACCAGCTGTATTGTGACAGAAACATTGAGGAAATAAAGTGCTATTGCCTGAAGTGAGTAACTGTAGACAGATGCATTGGTGGAACGACCTCAGAATGTCAAAGCGTAATATTGTCATAATTCTGCAATAAATACATCCCATGCCCTCAATATGGAGAGGTGTGGCTGCGCCCTTCTCGATTCCATGTGAGACATCTGTCATCTTACATTGCGTTGTGAAAAGACATGATTGCAGTGTTCCCAAAGTGGAACATACCAACAAAGGCACAGCCCCCGCCTCCAAATGAAGCACTTAGCCCCTTCGTCTATATCTCCGAGATTCGGAGCGAAACTTCCTCGTGCAATGTGCGTTAATGTTCTTTGGAAAGCTACGAGCACAGCGAAGAAAGAGAACTCCAAATACTGCTGCCGTGCTCTAGGTAACCGAATGCTGATAAATATTCATTACAATATGGTTTAGACATCGGTAGATGCTCTGCGACCGCGAAACCCTGCATCTTGTATACAGCACACATATTGATCCCGTTCTGAGTTCCTGTGTTTGATTTCCCCGAAAGGCCTTGTCTAAAAGCAAAAATCGTGGATGGAAAAAAAACAATGACGGCACTAACGTATAATCAGGGATGTATACCTTAGCGAGTTTCAAGTGTGTTCTGTGTTGCTGTTGTTCTCCATATTACATCGTAGGCTTTCAATATCCACGCTATCGTATGCTTTAAGGAGCCTCCTAAAAATAAATGCTTGAGTATCACTGGCTCAGATAAAAGACAAAAGCCAGTCTTTAGGCTCGTAAAGTTCAAAGCAGCGGAGTGGGGTGGGTGGCAAATTGCACGCTCATTCAGAGTTGATTCCTGGATAGGCTATCTGCCAGGTCAACCAAACCCTCCACCCTCCAGGAACGGTACATTGGTACCATGTTCGTCTGGGGAGATAAGAAAGGATTCAACACTCACTGAGTGCCCACGCAGGTCACGCTACGATTGTAAACGGAAAAAGAGTAGGCGCCGCATTCCAAAAAGGATTGATTGACGGCGGAGACTTCATCCTTTTCATCATGTTTTAAGAGAATGGCGATAAGATTGAATAGCTAAGGCTGGCTGCAAAGTTCCCGCTTGATGAGAATGAACCAGGAAGAATAGAGACATTGCTACGAAAAAACACTAAAATTTTGGCCTTTACTCGAGGGAAAGCTTCACAGGGCACATTTGCGTATTAAAGATGGGATTTTGGACATATCAGAGATTCCACGATTTCGGGATTGTTCAAATACATATAACTGATGACGTCACAATCAGTCGGGGCGGTGTCAGGGGGCCTCCGACTACTCTAATCGTGATTGGTCACTGGTCGATTTGGAAAAAAGAACCACTGGTGAAATCGCGCGCCGATTGACCGCGACGCTATCATCTGTTTTGGGCTGGAGAATAAGTTGCCCAATTGATTTAATGTTTTTTCTTGGAGACGGCAAGTC